GAGAGAGAGAGAGAGAGAGAGAGAGAGAGAGAGAGAGAGAGAAAAAGAGAGAGAGAGAGAAACAGTGAGGAAGTGAGAGAGTGAGAGAGAGAGAGTGAGGGAGAAACAGAGAGAGGTCTAGGACAATTGAAATATCAGCTCTGCACGAGGCTCCATGTCTCTCCTTGTAGCACCTCTTAGGCGGTACCTACTAAGTATTAAGCCTTGAAATAATATATATATACATTTTTTTATTTTTTTATTTATAAAATATACATGTAACATATATGAGCTTTTTAGCACACATTAAACTGTATATTTTTACTAATCATGGAGTATTTATTTTAGTTTCTTCCTCATGTAACAACTGTCGACATTTAAATTAATCTACTATTACTATTTGTAAGCTTTGCTTTAGTGACTCATTTAGCTGTCAGCTGACTTTTAATTATTTCTCGCTTACATAAATACTGTTACTTAAAAGTTAAGTTATTGATTATACTTGTTAGACTATACCAATTTTACGAGCAAAACTTATTCAGTTTCCACATACATAGATATCTTTGACTATAATCATTGCCTCTTAACTTTCGGTGACTTTCCACACAATTTGCGGTAAATGCATCTCAAGGCAAGCCAAGTTAAGAGCACAGCTAGAGACAAAGCGGCCAAGACTGCGGCGTAAACATCTATATTAAAGTAGGCCAGGGTGGACATGTGGACGGCCGGACTTTGCAGATGCACGGCTCCGTTGTACCTTAGCACGTAGTCCGTCCAGTAGACCACGGACTGTTTGGCCGTCAGCGGTCTGTCCCGGTAAAGTTTGGAGAAGCTCTTGATGGCCCTGGCGTATTTCTCATTGCCAATTACCTCCTCAATCTTTGCCCTGAAGTTCTGCTCGTTGAGCTGCAACAGGTCTTGGGACAGCCCGTAGCCCGACTTTTCCATGCTATCCGCATTGGCGGGCTGATCAGCGAAGATCGGTAGAGCCACCATTGGCACTCCGTGGTAGCGCGCCTCCGTAATGCCGCCCTTGCCAGCGTGCGTGATGAAGAGCTTGATCTTGGGGTGGGCCAGTATGTCGGCCTGGGGGAGCCATTTCTTATAGAGTATATTTGCTGATTTGCCGGGCGTACTTTCGAGATCCTCCCACTTCCAGATGACATTCTGCTTCAGGCTCGACAGCACCTTGAACATGGCCTGTATCAGCTCCGGTTTCACAGCCGTGCTCTTGATGTTGGAGCCGAGGCAGAGCAAAATCGCTCCGTGCTGAGATGCCTCCAGAAACGTGACTATGTCCTCCGGCAACGGATCGGGTTGCTCCTTGAGCTGAATGCCTCCGATTTCCACGATGGCTGGCACAAGTGGACGAATGGCACCCTCGCTTATCGTGTGACTGTTCGTGAACACCAACGACACGTTGCGCTTCATCTCGGCCAGCGTGGGGAAGTTGGGCTCCTCGCCGAACTGTTGCTCATAGAACCGATCCGATTGTCTGTCAAATATGAACATCATGGCCCTCAAAAGCAATTCCTTGCTGAGGTTCTCTAGACGCTTGGCAAAGCCCATCTGCTCACCCTGGCCCAGAGCCGTCTGCAGATTGGGCACATAGGAGACCTCTGTCGGATTGCCCACGTATTCATTGATGATAGTCATCGGCGCCTGCATCCAGGAGACAATCACAGGCACCTTTAGCTTGGCGGCCACGCCCAGTTGGAAATCGTTGATGAAGTAGCCCATGAACATCAAATCGAACTTCGTTTCGTAGATGCGCTGGAATCGAGGATCCGACAGCAACTGAAACTGCGAATCGATCATCACACTCAGGCCGCTCAGCATGCGAGTCATTGTGGAGAGGACCGAGTTCTTCTGCCCAGCCATCTCTTTCATCTGGCCCTCGAGTATGCGCTCCTGCTCGTCCGTCACTGGAACCACGATCAGATGAATGTCCTTGTGCATGATCGTCGGCTTCACCATGGTCACCACGGTCACATTGTGGCCGCTCTCGGCCAGCGCCTTGATCATCGACATGTGCAGTATCAAATGCGACTGACTGTGACTGCTGAACAGCCCCAAAATATTCGCCCCTCGCGCAGGCAGCGCGATCAGCAGGAGCCAGAGCCCGACTACACTCAACCGTAACGTGGCCATGCTGCTTGACGACTGTTCTTCGGTCTGCTTTATTCTCGACCAGTCGACTGTAGGCCCCAAACAGCTCTATTTATAACTGAAAGCCAAACGAGAGTTATCGAACTTTTTTCCATTTTTGTTTTCTGCGGCCTATCACTAACATTCCGATTACGAGCCGCACAAACGGCATGGGCTTGTGCCACAATTCAGTTAAATGATGAAAATTTTATGAATTACAATCAAAATATATATATTGCAAGATATTGATTTGATTTTTAGTATACATATATACATATAAAATTGATTCCACAATAGAATGTAATTATACATCTAGTGTACTAGAGATCCAAACAATACGCCCACATTAAACCAGTCTGATCAAGTTGAATATAGTTTAATGATGATGGACTCACTTTGATGTAGTCGTACTCGACCATAGAAAATAGATGCCTATTTAACTGGCGTACTACAGTTAATATATGTTTATGTTAAGCTAAAGGTTCCAGTTGTCAGGGCTTAATTTTTAATTTTAGACTACTTCTAATCTCCAATAAACAAATAAATAAATGAAATATTTGTAAGGTCGATACATAGCAAAGCACTTTATAAATACATATTTTCCAAAATGTAGCCAATAACAGAGCCCATTTTCAAATTTCAAGGTAAACTTCTATCTATGTTTGTTATCGATAAATATCGAGTTGTATAAAATGTGTTATGTTCATTAATTGCAGGGTATATTCCAGTCGCCCACACTCGTCTTTCTCTTTCTGCTTTGTCATTCTCGACATACAACTAAATTTTGACGATTAGACACCTATTGAAATTATGTAATTTATATTACGCCGTGACACAATTAGAAGAGCTTTTAAATTACGCTAATTTACTCTCTTCACTATTTGTATTAGCTAAACTTGCAATATATAAATCTAAGCGAGAGAGGGAGAGCGAGAGAGAGTTAAAAGAATACAGAGCGCAAAGCTTTCTTTTATCAACTTCCTTGGCCCAGCTGATTAATAGTATATAAAACCGAGACAGTTTTTAATTGCGGCACATAAAACTCGTTTACACTCTTAATATAACAAAGTTAACTATATATAATTTTATAGGCCTTAGTACACCCAAATACCTGCACAACACTTAAACTTGGCTCATAAACTATTCAGCTTTCTTGCTGCCCGGCGGAATGGGATTCGTCTTCATGCGCAGCAGCTGCTGCGTTTGCCCCTTGATGTGGCCCCAATGGTTCATTTCACGCAGCTCCGACTTGAACTCTCTCAGGGTTTGCTGTAGCTCCGGGTAGAGCTGTCGCAGCACTCCGTGATCCAAAGTGGGGAACATGTGATGCAGCGCATGCTCGCCAAAGTGCGTGAGCACCAGCAAATCGGACCACTTGATGTCGCCACGATCGATGATCGTGTCGAGCTGAAAGAGACCCCAGTCGCGATCGGGTCGCGGCGCATCGCCGTCGTGGTAGATGCGCGGATCGTGATGAGCCGCTGTCAGGCCAATGAAACCAAATAGAAAGCTGGCCATGCCGAGGATAATCAACCAGCTAACGATCACAGAGCTGAGATCAGCATGGGTGGATGCATAGAGAAAGACGGGCAACGTGAAGCCCAGCAGATCGTGCCAGTACATGACGTTCCGTTTGAGCAGCGAGTAGACGAGACTGAAATGGAAATGGATGTATTACAAATATTACAATCAATGGAGAAGCTTCCTGACTAACCGTTCGGTAAACTGCACCAGACTCATAACCGTATATATAAAAGGCGATATCAGCACTGAGATCACGCGCTGCACTCTGCTCGCATAGTGCCTGCTGGGCACCCAGCAGAGGAAGGGCTCGAAGAGCGACATCTCCAGGTCGTGCAACGAATTGGGATAGATGTGATGGGACAAGGCGTGCGAGATGCGCCAGCTGTTGCAGTTGAGCAGCAGCAGATTGAAGCTATACATGCGCCAATTGTCCCGCTGATGGAAGTAGTTGTGAGCCGACGTCGAGAGCCAGCAGAGCGACAGACCCGCAACGGCGCGCAGTGGCAGGGAGTTGAGGGCAGTGCCAGCCCAGCTGAAGAGCAGCACAGAGATCAGAATGCCAGTATGCAGGAGCTGTGGGTGTTTAAGTATGTTTGGCCAGGAAGTTTAGATAAGGCAAATTCCTACAGCTAAGCTAAGCGAATGGCAAATTTCTATACCTTGCCTAAGCAATAAAGCTTTTAGTTAGTAACTCCAATTAAGTGTAGTACGCTATAACATAAAAGATTTCATATATTTCCTATTATTATACACATTATCTATCTATCAATAGCGTGACCGTAAATCTAGAAATCTAGATTTCTACGAAGCTTTAAGATGTCAAGACCAGATATATATAATATATCTTTCGATATTACCAGCAAGATCTGGAACCGGTATTTTCAGTTTACACTTTGATGTTAATACGCCTTCAATGGGCGTGAAACCATAACGTTTCATTATTTTACAGAGCTGGTCAAGGTAAATAGAGTCCAATATCTCGCAAACATTAATATAGATCTATCTATAAACTAGAACTACAGTCTTATCTCTTTGCTTGCTAATTCTTAAAGAGAGATTATACATACAACACACTCTTTCAGTCATAGCTCTAAGCCATTATCTAATATATGTATACAAAATCATCAATTAATCATCTGGCTAAAGCTCACAAACAGAAATACTTCTACGAGCTACTTACATCTGTTTTATGGCTGGGTCGATAGTTCAGCTGGCGCAGCTTCTCTCGCACTCGTCGCTTTAAGGTCAGGTAGAAACTCTTCTCTTCCAGCGTAAATTTATAATTTCTCGGCTGAGCAGCTGATCGCACCTCGAATTTGCTGAGCATTCGCTCTGCGTGTTCCTCGATGTGATGTGACTCGAAGGGCTCGGTTATATCGGTGCCCTTTGTCCGCTCAATCCAGAAGGCGCCGCCCGGATGTCGGCCTGCAAAATCCGTCAGATCGTAGAGCTTATCTCTGATACGCCATAGACCCTCGGCTGCATCGTCGCTGTGTTTGCCCTCCAGCCAGCTGCAAGAGCATGTGAATGGACTATAACTGTGTTGGGGTTATATGGAGTTCAGACGCACCTCTCTTCGCTGATGGGCCACTCTCGGCGATAGCTGGGATATGTACGGGTGATGCCAGATACACGCCAAGCCTCTAGCTCAGCCAGCTTCTGATTGGGAGCCATTTTTCACCGATTTGGCTGCTAATCTACAGCCAATCACAAGTGTTTTATATATTTAGTTTATATACATATAATATATTAGTCGAAGTCCAAACGGTTAATTAATGCAATGATAAAACCGGTCTGATTCTCCGCAGAACCTTTTCGACTCGGCGTCTGCTTTGTTTGTGAGGCGCTTCGTGGAAAGTCGCTTCGCTCTGGTTTCTCTCATAAAAAGCTCTTCAGCCATATCAAATGGAAGAGAGCTTTGAGCTTTTGTAGCGCCTCTTATCAGTGTCTTCAACAGCTCAGACACACGCATGCTGAGAGACCATATGGAAATAGATCATGCCGCAGGGCATGACCCAAGACTTTAGTCGAAAGCTTGTGGAGAAGTTTTGCGGCGAATTCATTGCCTTTAAATAAATAATATTAATAGCAAATAAATAATAATTTTTATTTAACTTAATATTATTTTTATTTATAATATTATTTATAATATTCACATTATGTAAATACTTGCATATTGTTTTATGATTCGTTTCAATTCTAAGATTTTTTGGTGGAAATATATATAAATATATAGAGCTGCAACCATGTCGTACCAATTCATTCTTCAGAGAGAGAGAGAGAGAGGGCAATCTTCTGTTCATACCGCATAGCCAAAGGTAATACCCCCATCAATATTCATCATGACTCATCAGAGGTAAATGCTACTACCTTGGCAATTAATTTTATTCTAAATATATATTTTTTTTTATTTTCAGATCTAACCGCACCGTCATCTAAGAAAGTTCAAGAACATCATCA